ACAACATTAAAACAGCATACTTGCATATTCGGATTTTTTTTTTTTTCATATTTATATATATATATTATATATATATATATATATATATATATATATATATATATATATATATATATATAATAATTTTATAAATATAAGCAGCTATACTCACTCAGCAAAACCTTAGGTGTTTTTGCATGTAAATGAACAAACCAATACCCGAGGGAAAAAAAAGGTCGGGGGGAGAAAGAACTAAGAACATGTACTTCCGGCGAAAATAATCGTCTAGAACCAAAGTTCCGAGTCCAAAGAAAAAACGTATAAATATAAAAAATGTCTTAATATATATATATATATATATATATATATATATATATATATATATATATAGACATGCCCGCGTACTCAATTCCGGAAAATCCTTGTTGACAACACAACTATACTTAAACACGAAAAGAATAAACAAAAATTAAAAATTCTTGAAGCTATATACATAAAACAGTTGAAACCTAACCTGAACAAAATAAACTATGAAATCTCCACAAATATCCTTAAATGACTATAATTTATAACAAAAGCCATTGGTTTATACCAAAGGCTTCCCATACTTAATGCTTCTCGTTTTCACTCTCGCGTGGTCATGTGTGACGTCACGAGCTGCGATACGATTTTCGCTTCCGCGTCTTGTATATACGAGTTTGTCGTTACATGGAAATTTTCATGCAGCAAGGGAGGACTATCATTGTTGTTTCGTCCGTGTGTTGTTTGATTTATTGAAATGTTCATCTTTGATAATGGCTTAGATTAGATTTAAACATGTATCAATATGGTGTTTCCCTGTCGTATTTCCATGATAATGTGATTAAGCTTATCAGACAATATGAAAGGAACTTACTTAAAATAAATATACAAAACTTTTCTATATTATTTAATGAAACATGCATTTATTTATATATATATATATATATATATATATATATATATATATATATATATATATATATATATATATATATATATATATATATATATATATATCCACAATTCATTTGTGATGAAGCAGGTGAATTAACATTAACACTGATAAAAGATCAGCTGCATAGCATTAAAAGTAGACATATATATATATATACTTGTATATATATATATATATATATATATATATATATATATATATATATATATATATATCCAAGTATATATACGTTAATTAATTTGAAACTTTTAAAACCATTTATTTTACATTTAACATCATCATTGATAAGACACCGGAGGTGTTGAAAACAAAAGGGATATTTTTGTAGTGATTTTATAACATATTTATGTTATAATTTTTTAAATATATATATATATATATATATATATATATAGTTGGATTGTTGTGAGTTTGTGACCTTGGATTTCACGCTATTTGCGGTCGTCAGACAAACCGATTAATTTTTAAATTTTAGATTTATATATGGTTGCGTATATCAGTGTTTTTATGATAGTGGGAGGAAAAATTGTCGCCGGAACGCCAGTCATACTTACTCAAACATACATACACGCACATTCACTCAGTACGCAGACATACATACACACACGCTCACTCGTTGGAGCCTACACAAACATAAACATATGTGACTCGTGGGGGTCTTGCTTAAAGTTATTAGTATCATTAAAGGAGATGATCTTAACTCGGACCTCTTCGGGCAGCTTAGCGAGGAGATGGAAGAGGAACATAAATGTTTTCTCATGTACGCAGAAGTTAGATGGATGTCAGAAGGCAGATTGCTAGCTAGAGTATTTTTTTATTATTATTTGAGTTACGAGAGAAACTTCAGAAAAGCAGACCCCACTGTCAGCAAATTTCTGTAACGTTGTTGGAACCGCAGTACTTGCTTAGATGTGTAACATATTTAACCTGTTCAAGGAACTAAATCTCTTACTTCAGGGGAAAATGGCGAGAGTTTTCAAATCAGCAGATGAGACTTTTGCATTCAAGGACAAACGGGAAGTATGGAAACGCCGAATTAACACAATTTTTTTTTACATGTTTCACATGTTGGCAAGGAATTGCGGAAGAGATTAAATCCATGCCTTCATTCACCGAGGTGGTTCGTGATCATCTGTCTCAGCTTTCCAAAGAGTTTTAGCATTATTTTCCAGACACATAATACTCCCAGATGGGGAGGAAATGTATCCACAATTCATGTGATGAAGCAGGTGAATTAACATTAACCCAGATAGAAGATCAACTGCATAGCATTGTAAATGATGGTGACCTTAAAAGCAGACCCCACCACTGAATTTTCTGTACCTAAGATTTAAAATGAATTTAAAAAAATGAAAAACCATTCTTGAAGATTTCTTTTTAGCCTTAATTGAAAGTTAAATGATTAATTTTTTTTTACCAATAAGCAAAATACTCTGGTGTATTTCAAATAGAAATTATATTGATTGAATCTCAACTTTTCGCTTGTTTTCATAAATCGTTTAAATTCAGCCATTTTGACAGATATGTAAAAAAAAAAAAGTTAAT